CCCCTGGCTGAGACCATTTACCTATAATGTAATTATTGACGTGGTTAGGTTTAAATCTGCCAACTTGCTGTTTGTGTTTTATTTGTCTCTTCTTTGTTCTTTTTTCCCTCTTTTCCTCCTTTCTTTCTGATTTATTGAGATTGTTAGGGTTCTGTTTTATGTCCACTATTGACTTATTAACTATACTTCTTTTTTACATTTTTCTTAGTAGTTGCTCTGGGTTTACAATATGCATTTTTTAACTTACTGCAAAATGCTTTCAAGTAATATTATACCACTTCACATAAGATGTAAGAACTTATAATAGAATGCCTCCATCTCTGCCATCTTTTGGGCTGCTGTTGTCAGATATATTATTTCTGCATATCTTATGAACCACACAGTATATTAGGCTTATGTATATGTGTGTTTGCTTAAGCAGTGTCTTTTAAAGAAACTGTAAAATGAGGACTATATCTTTTGTATTTGCTCACACATCTGCCATTTCTGGTGCTCTTCATTTCTTCATATACGTGCACATATCTATCCATCTAGTATTTTCCTTTTACCTGAAGAACTTCTTTTACTATTTCTTGAAGTGCAGGTCTGCTGGCAATTAGTTCTCCCAGCTTTTGTTTGTATGAATAATTTGTTAGTGTGCTTTCTTCTTTGAAGCATCTTTTTGCTGGACATGGGATTCTTCTTTCCACACATTGTTGCATTGTCTTCTGGCTTGCATGCTTTCTGACAGGAAGTCTACTGTCACTCTGTCTACTGGCAGTAGACTTTGCTTCTCTGTGTGTAATATGTTTTCTCCTTTTCTAGCTGCTTTTTGTTGTTTTTTTGTTTGTTTGTTTGTTTTGGGTGGGGGGGGTAATTAGGCTTTTTTATGTATTTTTAGAAGAGGTACATGAGGATTCAACCCAGGACCTTGTGCATGCTAAGCATGTGCTCTGCCACTGGAGCTATACCCTCTCCCCTTTGAATGTATTACTTTAAAGAGTCTTGGACTCTTTCTAGAAGGCAGTTTAGTTACTTTGAATTTAGTTACTTTTGATCCTTTCCAGGCCTGTTTTTAAGCTCTTTTGGGTAGGTTTAGCCTAGCCTTTATTCTACAGCTAACAACTCTATTTCTAACGTGTTATCCCTTTGGGTCTCTACTGAATGGCTTTTGTATTCAGTGAAGTCTCTCTACTCTGGTTGGAGGGAGCTCAAAAGAGTCCCAGCCCTGTGTGAGCCCTGGGAATTGTTCTTTCTTTGCAAACTGTTTTTATATAACCCCTTGGCGTTTTACCCCATACATACACAGATTGATATTTGGCCAAAAGGACTCCATGCAGATTTCTAGAGCTCTCTATGTGCAACTCCTCCCTCTTGGCCTTCTTGATCTCTGGTCTGATCTCCATCTCCGCAACTCAGTGAGATTGCCAGACTATTTAGGTTTTCCTTCCTGGCACTACAGTCTGTAAGTTAAATCCAACCAGACAGCCTGGGAAATGACAAGTCTCACTTCATTTGTTTCTCTTTTCTCAGGGATCGCTGTCCTGTGATGCCTGTTGTCCTTTGTCTTTGTCATTTCCTATATTCTGTTCAGTTTTCTAGTTCACAGCGGGAGGATATTTCCAGACCATCTTATTCTCTTGTGTCTGGGAAGAGAAATCTCTGGAAGTAATATTTAAACCCAGAGAGTCTGGCTCCAGAATCTATCCTCTCAGCCTCTCCCCTAGTCAGCAGTCAGTGAGCCTTCTAGATGCTGGGGTCACTGAAGGGGCACACCACCAATGGGGCGCATGACCACTGGGGCCGGGTGGCAGGTATGGCTCCAGCCTGTAGCTCACCCCTCCCACCCCTCAGGTGGGCCTTCACTTTGATCATCATCTCCTCCTACACGGCCAACCTGGCCGCCTTCCTCACCGTGCAGCGCATGGAGGTGCCCGTGGAGTCGGCTGACGACCTGGCAGACCAGACCAACATTGAGTATGGCACCATCCACGCTGGCTCCACCATGACCTTCTTTCAGGTGGGGCCACCAGAGCCACCCGGGCTTGGTGTTGGGATCCCCGCCACACACAGCAGCTCAGGATGGGGCAGGGTATTCCTCAGAAGGTTCCCACAGGGCCTACTGGAAGTCAGCTGGCCTACTTGGCATGGATGGGGGTCTTCCTGAACTAGGCTGGGCCCTGGGGAGAAATGGGGGTTGAGCGTCTTCTCCCAGCTTCTGTGAAGAAGTCCTGGGAACACCAGGAAGGCAGGGCTGGGTGTCAAGCTGAGCTGAGGCCCAGGGGTGGAAGAGAACAAAAGGCTTGAAAAATAGACTGTGCCCCCTTCCTCCCAAGCCTTCAGTCCTCAGGGTCCTTGCTTGGCTGGTGGGTGTGGGGATAACTTGGACTTGGCATTGAGCAGTCTGCCTGTCTTCCTCTGGTCTCCTCACTCTCTTGGGTTGAGGGAGACTTCCTGGAGGGCAGGGGACAGGGCTCAGGAGAGAGGAAAGTGGACAGACCCTCACCTGTCTTCCCCTTGTGCCCCCTCTGCCCAGAATTCACGGTATCAGACGTATCAGCGAATGTGGAACTACATGCAGTCAAAGCAGCCAAGCGTGTTTGTCAAGAGCACAGAGGAGGGCATTGCCCGCGTCCTCAACTCCCGCTACGCCTTCCTGCTCGAGTCCACCATGAACGAGTACCACCGGCGCCTCAACTGCAACCTCACCCAGATCGGGGGCCTCCTCGACACCAAGGGCTACGGCATCGGCATGCCGCTGGGTATGGCAGCAGCGGGGCTGGGGGTGCGTGGGGGCCCTGGGCGTCCGAAACCAAGCCCTGCGAACAGGCCGGGGAGTGGGCCAGGCCCTCCCAGTGGCAGGCTGGGTGTGCTGTGTGTGGCCTCCCGCGTGTATGGCCTTGGGCAAGTGACTTCCTCAACCTGCAGAAACAGGCCTGGTAGCAGTCAGTTCCAGCCCCGCAGGGCTGTTGGGAGAACCCAGTGAGACTGCGCACAACTCGGTGCGTGTCAGTGCACGTGGGCCATGAGGCTTGCCGCCTTCCCGCTTTGGCCTTCAGGCCCCTGAGACTGAGGACCTGATTTTATTTGCTTCATACTCTCTGCACCAAACCCAAAGCCTGGCTTGCAGAGCAGGCGCTCAGGAAATGGATAATGGATGCCATTGGATGGATGGAAGGGAGAGAGGGAGGGGAATGATGGATGGCTCTGCCACGGAGACGGACATGCTTTTCCATGGCTCGGTGCTGGGACCTCACCACCAATTTTGTCACCAAATTTTGGCATTTTGGTTTCTAAACCCATCTATATTCAGGTGACGGCTACATTACCTACCTTTAACTGCATAATCAGTTACTCCAGGTCTTAGTAGCTTTGTGGTAGGGTCAGTGCTGTGCTGGGGAAGCAGTGGAGACTGCTGCTTTGGTCATCTGTTGAGTCAGGGAGGAAGCTGGGATCTGAATTCAGGTTGATGTGACTTTAGAGCCTGGACTGAAGTAAGGAAAGGAACATTCCAGGTGGAGGCAAAGGTCCTAAGGGAGCCCCAGGTGGCGGGACCAGTAAAAGCAGGATCCTGTTGGCTGAGGAAAGAACGTTTTTTTCAAGTTGCAACCAGAAGCCATTGGAAAGTTTTAAGCACCAGAGAGGCATGATCTATGCTTTTGTTTCTGAAATTGTCACTCTGGCTGCTGTACTGGGTGGGGGGTGAGGGGAGGCCATAGGGAGGGGGTGGTGACAGATGTAACATCTGGGGGCTTGGCCCAGGGTGGTCACAGGGGAGGTGGCAAGCAACAGCCAGACTCGAAGGTAGATGGGGGATGCGGCAGAGCCAGGAGGAGAGGCCATGGTGAGAGAACACTTGGAGTTTGGGTGGGCAGGGCTCCGGGGCCCCAATGGCCAGTCCACCCCGTCGTGTGCCCGGTCCAGGCTCCCCATTCCGGGATGAGATCACACTGGCCATCCTGCAGCTTCAGGAGAACAACCGGCTGGAGATCCTGAAGCGCAAGTGGTGGGAAGGGGGCCGGTGCCCCAAGGAGGAGGACCATCGAGCTAAAGGTCAGCCACCCCTGCACGCCATGCCCTTCCCCAAGGCCCCTGCTGGCCCCTGGCCCACACGCCCCACACCTGGCTCCCCTTCTCGGCCCCCAGGTTTGGGCATGGAGAACATTGGCGGCATTTTTGTTGTGCTCATCTGTGGCCTCATCATTGCTGTCTTTGTGGCTGTCATGGAGTTCATATGGTCCACGCGGAGGTCGGCAGAGTCTGAAGAGGTAAGGAGGCTGGTGAAGGGTGTGTGGGGGGAAGTGGGACCCCAGGGGCAGAGGGCAGGAAGACTGAGGCATTGGGAGGAATGCGAGAGGCTGGGATGAGCCTGGGAGGAGCCAGGGAGGTGAGAGAGGATCCAAGAGACTCCAGGGGTGGAGCAGATCCATGAAGAAGTGAGAGCAGAGGGAGCCAGCGTCCCCGGGCATGAGGGAGGGCAGAGGGAGAAGAGGGCGCAGGCAGAGATGAGGATGCAGGTGAGGGAGTGAGGAGGGGCAGAGAGAAGGATTCGGGGAGAGGCCTAGGTGGTAAAGCAAGAAGAAATAGGAGGAGAGACAGGTGAGGAGCATGCAGCTGAACGTGACAGCAAGAACACAGACTTGCTGGCTGGTCTCACGCTCTGTTCAGGCGTGGTGCTGTCCGGACCGTCATGCTCTGCTCTCCTACAGGATTGCGACTTCCCCATCTCTGCCAGCCTCCAACACCTCCTCCCCTTCCTCGCTTTCAGCTGATGACCTTGCTTCTGCTCCTGCCTGAGGAAAGCAGGAGTCAAAGAGCATACCAAGACCCACCTCCACATTTAGCCACCTGCCTGCTTTCTCCACTCGCCCCATTAGTTACTCTAAATGAATATCCATGCTCCTTGCTAAGGCACCCTCCACTTGTGCCCCATCTCCTCTCTCACCTTGCCAAGGACATCCCTCAGCCGTTTTCTCCTTCCCTCCTGCATCATCAGTTTTCCTTTCTACTGGATCAAGCCTGGCAGCATATAAAGGTGCTGTCATTTCTTCCATCTTCAAGAAACCCTCTCTAGACCCCACTCCCCCTCCCAGCCACCATCGCATTTCTCCCCTTCTGCTGCAGCCTTGTCAGAGTGTGTCCCTCTGCTGTTTCCAGTTTCTGTCCTCCCATTCATTCTTGGGCACACTCCCATCTAGCTTCTGTCCCCACCTCTCTACTGAAGCCAGTCTCATCACCAGTGACCTCCACATCTGAAATCCAGTGCCCCAGTCTCTGACCTCATCATGGTAAGGTAGCCATGGGCTTTAGCACAGCCGATCGCTCTCTCCTCACAGCCCTCTCTTCCCTGCTCCTGCCCCATTGTCCTCCTACCTCTCCGGCACTCTTCTGTCAGGGGGCTCTAGGGCTCAGTCCTCGGACCGCTTCTCTTCTCTTTCTCCACTGCCTCGGTTATCCCATTCAGCCAAATGATTCATAAGACCATCTGTATGCAGCTGACTCCTGTATTGTTATCTTTTGCCATGTAACAAATTATCCCTCAGGTTAGCAACTTAAAACAGCCAGCTTATATCAGTTCATAGTTTCTGTAGGTCAGGAATCTGGGAGCAGCTTAGCTGGGTGGTTCTGGCTGCCCAGTGTCTCTGGTGAGGTCATGGTCATGAGGTTGGCTGGGGCTGCTGTGGTCTGGAGGCTCGACTGGGGCTGGAGGATCCACTTCCAAGATGGTTCACTGTCTCAAAATATACCTGTAGGGCTTTAATTTGTGGAGGTGACTGAGTGATGACATGGAGGGGCCAATGTCATTGAAACAATGTATTACTCACATTACCTGAGAGGAGAGGGTCCACCATGCCATCTAGGGCCACAAGGGAAGCACCAGGTTTGGTCAGGGGGCAGATGGAGGGAGAGGGAAACCCAGGCCAGAGCCTTTTTCGGGCTTTCCATGGGAAGGGCAAGGCTGGTAGGAAAACAGCTTAGGATCGGGCAGTGTAAATACTGTCAGCAGGCTCTGGGCTACTGGGTGGTGGTCTTTAGTTGGGTCAGCTCTCGTCCTGGGTTGATTTAGGGCAGGGAAAATACTAGCTGGTGTGTGGAAGTCAGATATGAAAGGTATGAAAGGTGGGCTCCCAGCCCTTTGCTGTTCCTAAGAATTGGCTAGCTCTGGGAGGGCAGTCTCTCCCTGGATACCAAGATGTCAAAACATCCTAAGATAGAATAAAAACTCATCACATGGCAGTTGGCAGGAGGCCTCGGTTCCTCACAAAGAGACCTTTCCGTAGGGCTGCTTGAGTGTCTTCACGCCGTGGAAGCTGACTCCCCCTGGAGCGAGTGATCCAAGAGAGAGCCAAGCAGAAGCCAAAATGTCAGCTGACCTAGCTGTATTCTCTTGGTCACACAGCAACCCTCATATAAAGGCAAAGGGAATTACACAAGGGGGCAGGATGTGTATCCCTTACAGAGGCTTCTCCCTGAACCCGTGGTTTGTAAATTCAATTCTATACTCAACGTCCCACATGAATGTCCAACAGGTAGTGCTTGACGTCATGCGTCCAAAGCAGAGCTCCTGCCTGCTCACCACCAGGCAAATCCAGTTGCTCAGGCCAAAATATGTGGAGTCACCCTTCATTCCTCCTCTCTCATACCTTCTATCTAGTCTCTTAGCATAGATCTCTTTGGCTCCACCTTCAAAACATACCCAGAATTCTCACCTTCTTGGCCCCCGCTACCTTGGTCCAGCCACCACTGTCTCCTGCCTGGTGACAGTAGCAGCTTCCTAGTGGGCTCCCTGCTCTTGCCCTTGGCCTCCCTACAGTCTGTTCTCAACACAGCTCCAGAGTGATCCTGTCAAAGCACAGCAGTCCTATGCTTAAAACTCTCCAGCAGCTCCCATCTGACTCAGAGTGAAAGCCAAACCCTTATAGAGTCCTTTGGGCCTTATACAGCTGGCCCCCATTGCTCCCTGACCTCATCTCCTCTCCCCCTGCACACCCCACCCTGGCCCCCACCTGCTCCAGGCTCCTCCAGCACCTCATGCTGCTCCTGCCTCGGTGCCCCTGTGTCCTGCTGAGTTGTCTGCCTGCCCTCCTCCCAGGCCCCATGCAGCTCATCCCCCACTGCTTTTGTCTACTTGCAGGTCCTCTTCTCAACGAGTATTTCCTAACGCCCCATCTCAAAATTGAACATCACTCCCCACCTATGCCCCCACCTCTTTTCTCAATTTTATTTCTCTCCAAAGCACTTACCACCATCTAACATACTACTTATGGTTACAGATCTATTTTTTTTGTCTCTGCACACTGGAATATAATCTCCACGAGAACAGACTGTTATTCTGTTCTCTGCTGTATCCTCAATGCCCAGAACAGTACCTGGGAAACAGCAGGTGGTCAACAAATATGTCTGGCAATACTGAATGCATGAATCAGTGGCAGAGGATAGAAAACAAGCAGGAGGGAAAGACGAGGCAATTAGGAACTTTCCGTGAAGACACGAGGAAAGAGCAGGAAGAGAGGAGCGTAGGTAGGAGGTGAAAGGCAGGTTTAAGAACAAGTCCAAAGAAAGGGAGACAGGAGAGAGCAATGGAGGAGAGAATGGAGTTGATAGTTGGAGAGGTGAGAGCGGAAGGGCACGGGAAAATAAGGGAACTGTGAGGAAGGAGAATGGGAAGTGAGGAGAGGGTAGAAGGAAGGTGAAAGGGCTTTCTGGGAAAGAGGAAGAGGTGAAGAAAGAGGTGAGGCAGGTAGAGCAGGGAGGTGTGGAGAGGGCCTGTAAGAACGGAGAGGACGAGAAGGAAAGGGAGGGGGCAGGGGCGGCGGCG